TATAGCCATGTCACACCACACAAAATGTCATTGATATATATATATATAAATTCATGAATATGACACGATAAGTACTCTAGTTAAAAAATGAATACTTTGTAAGAAATTAGTTTAAGAGTCCAGCTGAATAGATTTCATAGGTATAATATTTAATTTTATATTATATTTTATCTATACATTTATATTATGAAATATTTAAAATGAGTCAATTATTTATTTATTATTATTATTCTTTATTTTATTAACACATAAACGTTTTAAAATGGTTTATTGGGTCACTACAGGTTTAAATGTAATCAAAATAGGCCTAATTGAGTATAATTCATTCAGTATTTGAATGCAATTAAGTGACTCCTTGTGCGTGCAATAATTGGGTCAGTTTTTAAAGATACGCGAACATATGAAACAATTGCAGGCCTTATATAACTGTCGTTAAAAACAAAAAACAGCTGTTACTTAAATCACAAGAAAAAACTTGATTTCTATGGATATCAATAACTGAAAAACTAGTATTCTTGATAATACACCAATGGGTATAAGAGAGACAAACAATTGCTGATGAATAATGCTCCAGTTGGATTTTCATTTCCTGTATTTCCATTCAATGCATTTAAGCGTTAGCCACTAAAGCCTATCACAAACCAAATGGACATGGGAACACGCACCACTATTGACAAGACCACAATGGGAGCAAGTGTCTATTTATAAAACCAAACCACACACATTATTGCTGTTGGCGCCAATTGAAGCGAACTTCCATTGAAGGAGCAAGCAGCCAGAGCTGGAGACAAGCTGGTTGAATAAGCGCTGTGGAAAATGTGGAAAAAATGGAATAATAATAACAAGCTGGCCAGCCAATGGCAACAATGTTGTTTAGCTAGTTACTGTTTTGTGATGGTGGTTGGATTGTCGTGGAGAGGCACCACTTAGGCAGGTAACAACAATATAAACGCCATAGCGACATCAGCCGCCGTTGCCGGCGTTTATTTAATTGTTGTTTGCCAGTTGCTGGCCAGGACAGGATACGAGCCTAACATGACTAACAAACGACATTTATTTATTTTAGGAGTGCGGCTTGTATGGCATGAAAGAGATGGGGTTGGCTATTGCAGTTCGTGCGAAACAAATTTCAAATCAATGCAGACGAACACTTGGCTACACTTAATAGCAAAATTGCCAGCTAAAAATAGCCATGCAACCAACATCAAAAACCAACTAGCATTTACCAGTTACTATCCTGCTGCTGATGCTGATGTGGCTGCTGCTGCTGCTGTTGTGGCCAATATGGCCAGGTACAATTTTATGCACAAATAATTTGTTAATGTCAGGCTTTCGATTTTGCCGCAACTGCAAGTTGCAAGTTGCAGTTCTCTCTTTTTTCAGTGCTAATGCGACGGACAAACGTTTTAGAATCTGTCCTCTGGCGTCAGTTTGCATCTGGCCATTTAAGCAGTGAAAATGTGCAAATAGAAACGACCACAGGCCATAAAATGTATTGTAAGTAAATGCCGGAGGCAAGAAAATTATCAAGTTCCGGCAACAGGCACGGTTTGCTGACCGTTTTTTCATGAGTTGGATAAAATAAAAAAAAAACAACAAAAAATGCACTTTCCAGATAACATCAGAAGTAAAAATTCAGCAAGCTTGTAGCGCGCCTAGCCATAAAAGAGAGAGAGATAGAGAGAGAGAGAGAGAGACAGAGAACAGCACGCAAATGTAATTTAAGCCACGACTGCGGCTGTTATTGACAATTTGGATAGCAAATTATGGCTAGCGAGAATGTCAGCAAATGATATTTATAAGCAATTTGTGTATCTATTTTAAATCAATCGCAGATTTTTGTTTGTATATACTTTGTATGACTAACTATAGAGCTTTGATCAGAGCCAAGCGGTGCGCAGTTCAATGTCAATTGCATTGTTCGGGCGCTGATTTTGGCTCGATAGAAAGGAAAAATATCATGAGTTTATTATTGCATTTATACATTGTATATACGTAGATGTTGCATTTATTCTTCTGTTTATGTAAGCAACTGTAAACAATGGGAAACGGCTTGAACTGTGTGTGTTTTGTTTTCGCTTATTATTTTAAGATACCCTGTATTTGCCTTGATATTGGTGCTTAGACTTTTCTAGAATGAATGAAATGTTAGCTGTGAGCTATAAGTCTTTTCAAAGTATAAATAATACTCTTTCGATTTTGCGACGTCCAGCCTCATTAATTTTAGAGTTCATCACCCAATCAATATTCTTCATTAATGTCAGGTAAAATAATCGATTGTTTTAGAAAATAGCCAAGGAAGTGCTTGTTTAGCTATATATGACAACTAAATTAAATAGAGACATAGGCTATTGTAAATGTAATTTGCCAATGCTCAGGGTTGTTGGTAAGCTCAATTATGTGTCGCAGGATAGAGACAAGACTTTATTAGCTTGAATATCAATATATACAAGCTTGTTCTATTCTACGTTTTGTTGTGTGGTAAATCAAAGACCCCAGCCCTAATTAGAGCAATAATCAAATCACATTTACGAGTGCGCTAGTCAGTCGACATTTTGTACAGGTCCGAAGGGCGGCAACGCTTCAATGCAGTCCGAAAATAATTGTCAAGTATTCAATTGAATTAATCACGTGCTGCACGTTGCATTCCGCGCTCTTATATAATAATCCGATCAAAACAAACACAGAAAACTAATGATGAACATTTGGCCGAATGGGCGATACAATTCCAATGGCTTGGTGGGTGGGTTGACTGAGTCAAACACACACACACATAACACACACACATAACACACACACATAACACACACACATAACGCCCACACACTCACACACACGCACACGCATATAAGACAATGAAACTAACCGCACCTAAGCAATTTTGCAGTCGCAAATTAACGGGTTGACATAGAAGCAGAAGTATAGTTAAAACTACAATAGATACATGTATAATCGAGTAGTAATACCAGAAAAGTTGTCAACAAATTGCAGTCAAGCAGCTACTTATAATGTGATTTTAATTTACTAGTTTTTAGGTCAATTAGGGTTCCTAAAAATGGAGGAAAAAACGAATGGAATTAAATATAGATAACATTGTTCATACAATAAATAAAGAAAAATAGTTTGCGATAGTTTTAGAGCGGTTCGAAATATGTTTTGCAAACAAAAAATTCATTTACATATGATTATTCTATATTTTCAATTGACAAACTCCCACTAAGAGCTTAGATAGACAAAATGAAAATTAAACACCCTCCACCCACTCTGTTTAACAACAGGAAATGTCGTCATATCGAGTGCATTTGCACATGAGGGATTTGTGGTGGAAAATAAGTTGACAATAAAAGTCGCACCTTTTCAGGCCACAATAACAACGACATGTTAGATTCACATACAGCTGTGGGGTTTTTATTTGTATTTTTTATTTTCATTCCACATATGTGTAGTCCAAAAACGTATGCAAACATTTTTAGCGCATGATATGACTTTCATTCTGTAGAAAATGTTAAGGGAAAACACAATTCGTAGCAGAGTGACTAATAGCAATGCTATTAGCATTAGCGAGGCACTTGACCATTGAGAAATAGTAATAGAAAAATAATAACATTTGCTAATGAATGTCAAATGCAAACGTCACACAAGCAAGGCAAAACACACCCAAGTTGTTCAGATCGGTAGAAGCCAATCGAGCCAGACGTTTTTTTATTTTTTGTATTTTATATGAATGGAGTAGGTGGTTGGCTGGGTATACAAGTGCCCGATAAATTTTTCTATAATGAGAAACAGCTTCTGTGTAAAATCTATGCCAGTGTGTCTCACTCTCTGTCTCTCGCTCTCTCTTTCCTTCTTTTGTTTTGATTGCGGTGGCGTCGATCTTTCGTTAAATTGTTTTCATGTTGTAATCGACGACGACGTCACGTCTTTATGTTATTAACCTGCCAATTATTTGGCTATCAACAGCAATGTACGTGGCTCCTCCTCAATATACCTTGGGGTATCAAAATGTTCATTAGGCATACGATGATAGCAAAAAATAAAAGGGGTAAAAGTCGTGACAATTTTCAAGACACGCTGGTATTAATCAAGCGCTAAACAAACATTGCTCGCCACATAAAATTTTTGTATTGTTTTTTGGGATTTCGATTTTGGCTATATTGTGTTTTGTGGTTTTGTGTCATGTGTTACATTTGCTTCGTTTCTTTGATATTATCAACAAGTTTGCATTTGTTTGCCCCCTTGTCTGGGGCTTGTCTCTGTTTTTGAGTTTTGATTTTCGGGTTTTGGTTTTCGGCCTCTTGCCCAAAAGTGGCCAACACGTGTGGCCCAAGTACAAAAAATTTGTACAATATCGTATTGATATGCAAATTAAGAGACTGAACCAATTTGAAATGCTTTGGCCTTGAAGTTGACTTGAATTCAGTTTGTTTGACGAGACAAGTTGTACATATTTATGAACAACTAACAAATATCTGCATAGTAATGGGAAATGTCTTTTATCGATGAAGCTGATTTCGATAGATAATATTTAAAAGTCTACGATATTTGGATAATTTAGAAATATTAATAAAAATACATGAATATTGAGAAATTTGGATGAAGTTTCAAGTCGAATGCCAAAAAACGTTCAAGGAAAATATACAAAGGGAGTGTGCCCGTGCCAAATTACAGAAAGAAATACCTTAATAAACTTTCAGTAATAAGTCGTTGAAAGCTCTCTAGGACATTTTATATTAAACCTATGATTATATATAAAAAGTCAAGAAAACCAGATATATGTATGAATTTCCCGTCTGAATATTTAAATCACTTTGTTTGAATGAGTGAAAAATACTTGTGTTTTGCCTTTAAAGAGCAACAAGCGATTTTTTCCAATGGCCATAAACTGTTGAATGAAAGAAGATCACAAGACAAATTCGCAACAGTATCGAATGGAATAATCTAGTCAATCATAAATGAATGCATACAAATTATATTTGTGCAGTACGAGGCTGGAAACTTACGATTTTTCATTTAAAAATTCACCCCGCGTAAATTCCGAAAGTCGACGCGATTTGCCTTTCTTGATCGGAGCAGTTGACGTGGTTGTTTTTGTGTTGTTTGTTGTTGGTGCTGTTGTGGCTGTTACTGTTTTGCTGTTAGACTCGGCACAGCCGGCAACGGCTGCCATTAAATTGACGCACGTATGCGAACAGGCGGTGGGCAGCGAGCGGCTCTTCTCAATGACAGACAAGGCGGGCGGCAACGGCAACGGCAACGGCGGGGTAGTTGGGCAAATGCAGTGGCTGATGTTGTTGTTGTTGCTGTGATTGTGACTGCTTCTGGGCTCCTCGAACGTTTGACAGGTGCATTTGAGCAGCATTTGATTTGACCAACGACGCTGGGGCTGCTTCGGCACCGTCAAGCAATTATCCAGCGAATGCTTCTTCATCAACGGTGGCAGTAAATTATCTTGTTGTTGTCGTTGCTGCTGATGCTGCTGCTGCTGCTGTTGATGCAGGCATTTGTGCTGCTTGAGACTGCGACGCGGGCGTGGGGGCGAAGGCGTTGCCGGAGGTGAGACGGCTACAGACATAGAGATGGCATCCAATGAATTGGATTTAATCAATGATGCCCCGTGGCAATCGGCATCGCTACTCGAGTTGCTGCTGATGCTGTTTTTGATGTTGCTACCGGCGCGTCGCTGCTGTGCAATGATGCGCGTGTAGAGCTCCTCCGAGTCCAGCGGCAGCAGCAGATTGCTGACGCCAACGCGCCGCTTGGCCTGGCTGCGTTTCGCCTGCTGCTGTTGTTGCTGCTGCTGCTGCTTGACCATATTCTCGCTGTTGTCAATGTTGGCGACATAGTGTGGCGGATTGTTGTGGCTGTTGTTTGATTTACTATAGCTTAGAATATTAGACAAGCGTCGCATTTTGCTACATTTGCTGGCCTGCTGCGGTGTCTCAGTCGTTGCAGCAGCAGCTGCAGCAGCAGTAGGAGGTGCACTAAGCACATTGTTGCTGGCAGCGACGTGGAGTTGTTGCTGCTGTGGTTCATCTACATGGCTGACGATGAAACGCGTTGTGGTAACAGAATTGCTAGCGGCGATGTTGGCTGCCTCATCGCTGGCTTCCAATTTCTCTCCTTGTAGGATGTCATAAATTGTGCCATATTTGTGCGTGATGTGCGTGACCAAATTATTGGCATCTGTTGTTGCATCCTGTTGGTGCTGCTCCTGCATTAATTGCTGCTGCAGTCGCCTTTGCTCCTCCATTTCGCGCTTTTGCTGTTGCTTTTGTATTATATCATAAATCACATCATTTGATTTATGCATTTGCACTGCTGTTGTTGTTGTTGTTGTCGCTGTCGTGTCGCGTTCTAAAATTGAGCTCAGACTCTTGCGCTGCCATTTGTCATTGCTGCCAGTGGTCAAAGAATTGCTGCCCTGCATTGGCGTCGATTTGCGATGCAGTATTTCATATATGGTGCCATAGGTCATGTATTTGTCATACTTCTGATACGTTAACTGATAGATATCGTTTTTGCGCTGTATTATATCATAGATGGTGCCATAGACCAACTTATCATAGATTTTAAAATTGCGCTTATAGGTGGCACTGGAGCTCACACTCGAACAGCAACTGTTGTTCCTGGCCGCCATTTTGGCGTATGCCTGCAACTGTTGTTCTTGCTGTGGCTCGTTCTCTGTCTCAGTTTCAGTCTTTGGCTCTTTGTTGGTCGAGTTGCGACGCGGCAAAAAATAAGAGGCAAAGCTTTTGCGCTGACGCGAATTCTGACGCTTAAGCGGCGATGTTATTGCTGATGTTGGTATTGTTGTTGTTGCTGCTGTGGGTGTGTCCACCAGCTGACATTCCAACGTCAGTTGCTGCTGGCCGATGTCGCCGGCATCGATTTCGCGCACGAGACGCTTGAACTCCTCGTACGATGTGCGTCGCTTGTGCGCTTTCGCCCGCTGTTCCTTGGCCGCCAATTGTTGATCAAGTATTTGCGATAGAAAATCAGAATTCTTGCGCATTGCTTCTGTGGTGGCGGTGGCAACAGTTGTTGCTGATGTTGTTGTTAGATCGTCGCCGGTATCCATTTCATCCGCTGTTGTTGTTGCTGCTGTCGTAGCAAACTCGTTTACGCAATCCGGTTTGCTGTTGTTGTTTGTGGTTTCTTGTTCTGATATTGAGGCGAGCGTTGTCATCACAGTGTTATTGCTGTTGCTAGTTATAGTTGTTGCTGTTGTTGCGTCATCTGCCGCCACAGGCATGGCTGTTGTGGCTGCTGCTGCTGGTGCCACCTCAACAGTTGTATCCACAGGCTGCTGCTGCTCCTGCAGTGCACTACAACGTCGTCGCGTCAAACGCGCCAACGCTTCGGACGACTGCGTCGACTCGGCAAACATGGCTTTGAACTCTTCGTAGGATTTGCGACGATTGCGCGACTGCGTCAGACATTCCTTGTAATTGCGTCGCGCGATCTTCTCACCATTCGCACTGGTTGCGGCGGCAGCGGCCAACGCATCTAATTTATTTTGCATCTCCATGAAGCCAGAGTCCATGGAGCTGATCGTGCAGGTGGAATCAAAGCTGGTCTTTCGACTCGAATTGTTGCTGCCCGGTGAATTGGGTTTGGGTGGCGTGGGTGGTGGTGTTGCCTGCAATGACACCAGGGCGGCTTCTTCCGCCGAATCATTGGGTGCGCACAACAGATCCACTTGGGAGTTCTGGCTATCACAGTTAATATTAGCTGTTGTTGTTGTTGCTGCTGCTAAATTGGCTAAGCTGGCATTTTGTTGGTGCTCGACAATATCATCATCCTCGAAACTGATTAGATCTTCAACTGTTGCTGTTGTCAACGTTATGGGCTCTTCGGGCACGGCAGCTAACATGATGTTATTATTATTGCTGTTAGAATTGTTGTTGTTAGAACTGTTGTTGTTAGTATTTTGATTGATCGTGTTGTTGTTCTTTTCATAGTTTTCAACGATCGCGTCACGCTTCTTGCTTACAATCGCATAGAGCGGTGTTCCGTTGGACAGCTGCGATGTTGACAGTGCCGCTGTCACCGATAAACTGGCCGACGCCAAGCGGACGCTCGCTCTAGTCGCTGCCGTTGCTAGTGTTGGGGAACTGTTACTGTTACTGTCACTGGGAATTGTAGTTGTCGTTGACGTTGTTGTTGTTGTTGTTGTTGGCACGCCCACGCTGGCAGTACACGCGCCATTGAGCGTCGTGTAAGTGCTGCGATTATGAAAGATTTTCACACTGTGCATGGCTAATTTGCCGTGGTGATGATGACGACTGTTGCTGTGACGATTACGTGCAATGCCCATCGAGATAGTCGCCAGCTGTTTGTGACGCTGCTGCTGTTGTCGTCTTGCATATTTGCTGGCAATGCTGCACACAGGATCTAGATCCAATAGCAGTTCACTGACCTCGTTGTTATTGTGGCTGTTGTTGCTGCTTCCTCCGTTGCTATTGTTGCTGCTACAATGCCTCAAGAAGCGCTGCAACCGTCGGCTGGCACAAGTGCCATTATGACCCGCACGCTGCTCATTCATACACTTGGCACAGCAGAGGAATTCGTACAGTATCTCATCACCCGGCTCGGTCTCGGCCAGCGAACTGGGCGGTGAGCTGGGCGGTGTCAATGTTGAATATTTTGGCTCCAGCAGAAATTCCAATTGCGCCGCTGCAGCTGCAATTGCTTCCGGCGTGCATTGGCCATTGCTTGTTGTAGTTGCTGCTACTGACGCTGCTGTTGTTGCCGTTGTCGCCGTCTTATTGCTCACGGGCATTAGTATGTATGTGTTCTTGTGATTCTTATTATTATTGTTGTTGTTGTTGCCGCTGCTGCCGTTGATGTTGTTGTTGTCCAAGTGGCCGGCATCGTTGGGGCTGCCATTGCTGGCCGTCTCTTTGCCTGCATTGGCCAGTATGGAGCTCTCGATGCTGAGACCGCTGTCGAGCAGCATAAATGTGCCATCCGAGGGCAGTATGAGGCGTCCCTCAGCTGCCGCATTGACCATTTCACGCAACGCATTTACCTGCTTCTCTGTCACATTACCCTGCAGCTGTATGCCGTGCAGGGCAAAGGCTGTGGGTTTGTTGTTCACCGAGTTGGGATCGGTGCACCAAACCACTGGCATGGTGGTCATCTTGTTTGGATTGCACAACCACAACGGCACAGTTCAATGTTCGCTCTGGGCAAGTGTTTTCTGAATCTCCGCCAGGGAGAGAGCGAGAGCAGCGAACGGGCAATAAACTGTTAGAAGAAAAAACGCTTGAGTATTTAGATTTCTTGTTGCTATTGTGGCTTGACTTTCTCGCTTCGCTTGAACTTTGCTGATGTTTTCGCTTTGACTATTTCGTGTTTTGGTGCTTTTACTTGTTTACAATGTTTTCAGTTTCAGTTGAAAAGTCTACAAAAAATATTTGCTTTAGGGCAGTGACGTCTTTATTACAGAATTTTTGTTGCATAACATCTTAATTATAACCTGGGAAACTATTTAACTTGTTTAGAATCCTATATTTTGGGAAAAAGAAGCAATTGAAAAAAAACTCGAACTGTACAACGCTTATCTCAAAGAAGAAAAAAAATGAATATGCGAACTTCCCAAAATGAGTGGCAGACTACCAATATGCACCAATCACAACTAATCTTTTGATTTATTGCACATTTTCTGGCTCACAGAGCTGGCGATAATTGAACTGCAAAACAAGTCATAAGTCATTTAACAGTGCTCCAATTCCAATCAATTTTTTTGCTTTGTTAGTTTTGCACTAGATAAACTTCAATTCCTACTGAGACAACCTTGAAAAAGCAAAAACAAAACAATTGCAGTGAATGCACGAGAGATACAAGTACAATGTATATTTCACAGTTTACGACAAAGCACTATTTGTGTGTATTGTGTTTGTTTTTTCTTTATTTTTCAGTTTGGCATAAACTGAATACAAAATTCAAATGCTGCCGTCGTGTGGACACCATTCAAAATGATGGCGCTATGTATGGTATGTTTTATGGGATTTGCATGTGATGGAATTGGGAGTGCTATGAAATGAGTGTGTTTATAGTGACAAAATCGTAATTTTGTGTGTGAGGAGCATTCGACTTGTATTTATTCAAATAGAATATCAAATAAAAGCGCTATCGGCATAATTTACAATTTACCTAGATACGTTTTAATGTTGATTTTCTTATTGAAAAACAGGTATAACAGAACTTTAAATATTTAACATAGCATAATATAAGAGTACCGCATCTAAATAAATCTTCATTTTTCGTTGGGTAAGGTAAATGAAGGGGATTTTTTAATAAAAGAAAAAAATGAATAAACAACTTTGCATACAAATGTGTTCAGCTTTATGTTATTTAAATTCGGATAATTTTCGAATTCCAGAAAAAATTTACCGACTTGTATATAATTGTACATCTGTTAGCTATGACAATTAGCTAAAGCTAATATCAAAATTGCTGAATTGCCAGTTCAAAGATGTCACAGACTGCGTTCTGGTGTTGATTTCAACAACATGAAATTTGCAATCAGCTGAGCAAACAAGTCTATTAATATCATTCTTGCTGTCAGCGGTAAATAGCAGTAAGCTAAAACAAATATTATGATTTCCATTGTCAATTCCACGAAAATATTTATTAAGAGTTTTTTGGTTTTTGTTTCGTTTTTTTTTTTTGTCTTTTTGGTTGTGGGCAGTTTGAGCTTGAAATAATTGGTAATAATTAAAGCAGAGACGCAAGTTTATGCGTTTAATAACCACAGCGACATCTAGAGAAACAAACCACTGAAGGTGGTCTTCATTAGCTGACCATTGAACTGTTATTTTTTTATTTTATTTTTTTTTATGCCATGTAAATGTATAAGAGTGAGTACACATGGTACATGTATGTAAATAAGTTTGACTTCAAGGCTGTAGTGCCGCATATGGAAATGGAAACTACTTGGACTTGGCAGCAGTCGCAGAGCAGTTCAAGTTTACGGCGACTGACTGACAACTTGCCGACAAAGCAAATAAAAAAAAAGTAATAATAAAAAACAGGGATAGAGTGGGGAATTGGGGAGGGGAAAGTGATCGAGCGCAGGCATAGGCACTTCAGACAAAACGATTTAGAGAAGTCACTGGACGCAATGCATGCAGTGGAGTGGACATCCTGGGAGACAGGCTGGAGACAAATGGATGTAGTTACAAACAAGTACAAGCCACCTCCCCGCCCTATCCATCCACTGTTTGCATGGGCAATGGAACGGAGACTAAAAAAAATATTTATATATAAACAGCTGCTGAGCAAGAGAATCAGCAAATGTCAATGTCAGGCCATAAAGAAACCGAAAACAGCAAACGATACGAAAAACGAAACAACAAAAATACATCAAGGCATCTTGTTTTTTTCTTTTTCTTTTTTTTTTTTACGCCAATAAATTGAGAATCATTTGTAGTCAGTTCATTATCAGCGTTTGATAAGCGCTGTTAAAGTTGTGCAGTGACTCATTTGGCACAAAAAAGCTGGCTTAAAGTAGAGGTGAGAAAGATGCTTGAATTAAGTCAAGTCGAATCATTAATGCTCTTCTAGGTCAGCTATAAAATGGTCATTAATCCATTTAGAACATTGTTGAATACTTTCAAGCTTGTTTTGTAGAAAATACTACTTCAAAGCTAGATAATTGAATACGATAAATGTTTACAGCTGTCATTAGTTACGTTTATGGTACATCTTGATAATGATAATTAAAATTGATTGTTTTAAGTTATCCGCTCTAAAATCGTAAGCAATTTGTAAGCAACAAAGCCATACGAAACAAATTAAATAATGTTATACCAGTTAAAATATATATAATATTAATTTGCTTGGCAATTCTTAGTGACACAAGAATGCCGACTTATCTGCTTGAGTGATATCTTTATTTAAGCGAGCCGAGTGAAATTATCGCACGAAATTCTTATATACGTAGTAAGACACTTTCCGCTTTTGAATAGAGTATTTTAATATATTAAAGTCACATGAGTGCATACTGTTTCTATAAAACACCTGACACCAGTAATTACAACAAGAACAATATAATATATACATTTATATATATATATTTATATATATTTTTAAGCACGCACAAACCTGTCGAACCAGACGCCCAGACGAAAGTCCCTGTGTTGTATGTGTGTTTCTAAGTTATTGTTGGTGTTTATAATTAGCTGCATTTTGCCATTAGAACTAGTCGCTCTTTGTTTTTAGTCATTTTTTTTTATTATTTATATAAACGGGAACTCAATTAATGTGCTTACCGCTAAGAAATAAAAAAAAATTATATGCATTAGCACAAAAAAAAAAAAAAAAAAACGAGTCGGAAGGCTAACAGTAGCCAAGATAATCAGTCAAACCTGTGAGTATACAAAATGAGCGCTAATAGATGTTTATTTAATAAACGATTTATTTCTAAGTTTTCAACGTGTCTTTCAGCGTTTTGTTTCATTGGCCAATGGAATGCCAATGCGTTGGCATTAGAACCAACAAGGTTAGTTGCGAAAGGCCTTAAGGGTGTACCCACCACCCCCCTCGCCAACCACCTCTTGGAGACTGACCTATGCTAACCGAATCCGAAATTCATTACAAAACCAAGTCGAATTGAGTGTGTTGGTGGTTCGGCTTGATAGCGCGTGCCTAGACAACTGAAACAAGACCAACATAATAACTACCATAATGAGTGAAGTGTTGCCTATTATTGTTGCTGTAGTAGTTGCTGCTGCTGCTGCTCAAAGGTAACAATTGCACTCAAAAGTACTACGACCCAATTTGAACCGGTTTGTTTTTTCTGCTGATTTTTTATTTAATTTTTTTTTTTTTTTTTTTTTTTTTGGTTAGCTCTTTGCTTATTGTCTTTTGCGTGTGGCTTGTGAGAGCCATTTGATGCTGCAACATTGTTGCCAAGCATTTGTTGCCAAGCAAATTATGAAACCCCAAAGCATTGTCAGTCAAAACGACACGCCCCATACAAATTAATAATAATCAACTAATTTGATACATGAGACAACAACAGCAAAACTCAATTCGAACTAAAGCTAAAATTTACGGGTAAACATATACTTTCTCCGCCTTAAAAACAAAAAAAAAAATAATAAAACTGACCGTGTTTCGATGTCTTTGACTCTGACTTTGCCGAAAGCGCAGTTTCCAATCATGTGCAAATTGTTACTAAGCCAAAAAGTTTTAAAATAACCTGGCCAAAAGCAACTTTACTCACGAAACCTAAGCAAAACTCACACACATGTATGAAATGAGTTTGACTTTGATTTGGGTCATTGCACAATGGTAACGAGAGCATCGACTAATTTTAGTAGCGCCAAATAACTTTGGCCACGCGAAGCGAGTTCACCAGCCCCCCAAAAGAGCACACCCAAAAAAAAAAAACAAAAAAACACATACACACACACATATATATATATAAAATCAGCAGACACTGACGAGCATTTTGGCAGCCTCGGATGTAATTATTGTAAATGGGCTGGAAACTGTTTTAGCTAGACTCAAAAAAAAAAAAAAAATAAGAGGTCTACACAAAAATCGAAAACTGAGTGAAGCCCCAAGTGTGAGATAAAAGTGAAGCTCCTTCGACAACCAGTTTCGAGTTCGAGTTATGCTTCAGCATGAAATACACCCGAAAAAAAGCTTTTATTTATTTATTGGCGTTGAATACCAAGAAGTTCGCGTCATTGTGGAAAATTTCCACAGCTTAAAATTCGCACTAATTCAAAGAAGCGTACAACAAAGCTTAAAATTGAGCTATCAACTTATTATCTATAGTTGAATGCATATATGAATAAATATTTGAGCATTCTCAGTAATTGTCCAAGTTTAAAGAAGTTTTTATAGTTTTCACTATTATTGAAGATAATCATCACTAATATTAGCAATGTCAACTTTTATAGCTCTTGTTATTTATGTTTCTTCTCATTAAAACTTCAACTTCATTAAGCTGAAATATGTAGTCATCAGATAACTTTGCTGCAAAATGTCAACAGTCAACCACAAAACAATTGCACTGTATTTCTCTTCTCTTTTTGTTTTGTTTTATACTCTATAATTTTTTTTTATACGCTTTGCGCCCTTTTGAGCTGAAAGCAATTTTTATGCGAAATACAAGTAAATGTCTGTACGTAAGTAAGTATTTGTGTCTTTATCGCTTTACCGTCAACTGACTGACTGACAACAGCATGAGTCACGGACAGGAAATTTACGAACTACAAAGAAGAGACAATAACAGCAGCTGCCGCAGCAGCCACACGCCAACTGTGACGCAAAGTAGCTGAAAAAACAGTCACAAAAGATAGTGGCAGGAGCGTGTGGGAATCTGCAAAGCTCTCTCGAGAAAATCAAACAAGTCCAAATCAAACTACAGTTAAAAAAGCTCGACTAGATGATGCCCTAGAACGAATAATAAAAATATACTTAAATACATTTTTCGCTTTTGTATTAAAGCAGAGAAGATAAAAAGCAAAATTAATATAAGCTTGATAATCACATAATCCGGCAACTTTAATATTTTTGTGACTTTCATAAAATTCATTTTAAAAGTAAAGTTTCATTGAACGAAGTTCAAGAAACTAGAAAATATAATTGTAATCTCTCTTTTACAGGTTTAAATGTTCTTCATATTGCCATAAAAGCAATTTGAAAAGAATTCTTTTTGTTTTAATATATTCAAACCACATAAAACAGTTTAAACTTAAAGCGAATGGTTTACTGACCGAAAAATAATGATTTTCTTTTAGAAGTCTTATGAGTTTTACCACTATAATTGTAATTGGTTTAAATAAAGTGTATTGCCATAGCACATCTATATAAACAATAGTTAAGAAGAGGCAAGCGTCACAAGTCTGTTGAATGGCGATAAGCGAAATCCAAGAATTATAAAAGTCAATCAACTAAAAGACCAACAAAACATGCCAACCATGTTGTGGAACCCGCTACAAACTTAACCAATATGCTACCATATAAATGTATGTTTGTATGTGCAAAATAGTGCAATTTGTACAAGTCACGTAAGTTCAAAATTGATATGGCGCAGGTTGCAGCGAAAAAAATAACTAAGCCAATTCGAAATGTCAAGTAAAATACGAAAACAAAAAGAAAAAAAAAAATGAACTGAGTAACAACTGACAGCCCCATGTGCGCAAGTGCCATTAACTAAGTATTTATATCGCTAACTGAACTGAGAGTCTTTTTTATGCATATCCAAGCATACAAACATATTATTTTTTGCAGGCATCGCAACGCTCTTCGAAAAATGCGCCCCAACTGCTGCTTGGTGCAAAGTGGCTTAAAATATTTACATTTTAACACATAGCCGCAGATAAGAGCTGAGGATGTTAATGAATGCAATACACACACAAATGTATATATATATATATTGTAGGTAGGTATTGTAGGTCTATAGGTAATATACAATTCCATTCGGGCATTACGTAAAAGTTTCTAATGGCTCAAACTTATTCTCAGCAGGCATTTCAACGGTAAATGCTCAATTGCTTATGAAATTCGTTCATTGAAATTCTAAAGGCTACAAAAACCTATAAATATATGTATGTTTTTTGAGTACTCGTGTTGGATATAAAACCATAAGAGCACCGCACGAAATAGCAAAGAAAATAGAAAGTTCTGCGCCAGCGCGCAACTTGACAAAGCGGCAAAACAGATAACAACAAACACAGCCAGCTAGAGCTATAGCAATAAATAAACAAAAACAACAGCTATAATAAACATATTGTGTTGCACATTTGCTTCTTGTGGCGTTTGCCACTTTGTCAAGTTGTATTTCTGCTTTAAGCTCATATTCTTCACTCTACCTCTGGTCGTATGCTGCGGCAACATGTAGCTAAGCTATGAATTGTTGCTAAGAGGCCCGATGCTGCTGCTCCATTTCACATAGTAAGTGCACTTTAAGCACATATACACATTACACACACACGCGGGTATATTACAAACACTAACACACGCGAACGAACGAAATTTACAGCCACTGTTGAACAAAGAAAAACAGTCGCTGCTAAAAGTATGCCAACATGCCGCGCACGCGTGCAACAAGTTTCTGTATGTATATGTTGTATATTTCAATTGTGTGGTTTGTTGCCAGGGCCTCTAAAAAGCTCAGTTTCGACGCAAAAATCGATGCGATGCAAAAATCAAAATAATACTAATTTCTAACGCTCACGAAAACGACGTTAAAATCACAATAAATAAAATTGGCACTTGCGTTTGATATTTAATTTCCTATATATACACATATACATATATGTGTTATATTTGATTTATTGTAAAATCACACGAGATATGTACATATTGTGTGGCACTGTAAGCCACCTTCCGTTCAACGTCCGTTTTGTGCACCGCTTCGCAGACAACTGATACGTTTATGAAATTTTTATAGAAAGGTTTTAAGCAGCACGACTCGACGAATCGGCGGTACGTCTTACACACACAAAAGCCGTCTGACTGCGTGTGTGTGTATGTGTGTGTATCTATGTGCGCATCGAGCGACAATTGAGCCAAGCTTTCGGCTTTGTGTGCGTGAGTCGATGACGGTTTGCGCTCTTTGTGGCCGCTCTTATACGCCAGATTGTAAGTTGTCCGCAATGGTCAGAGTCAGATTTCGGTGCACTCGACAAGATCTGCGATCTGCAGCTGGGAAAACAGCTGATTGTTGTTGTCTGCTCTCAATTGTTGTTGTTGTTAAGCTCTTCTAACACAACAAAAGAGTCGCAAACACGTTTGTGTTGTCTCTTTGTTATTGGTCGGTTCGTGCTCTTAACAGGTGCTGACAAGATAAATGAGTTAACTTCATTTTACAATTACGTGTGTAATTAGTCATAAAGTGCGTTGATTGTAAAGATCAACGTCAGTCTAAATATAATTAACTTGTTGTTATTGTTGTTTGACATTTTGTGTAAGTAATTCGCATTTGTATTGTTTTATAAATATCAACATATTATAAAGGGGATACATTATAATATACGCCTCATTGTCGCCGTTGAAATTTCAAATTATGCGCTTTAAATGCCAACTGTTGAGTTCTTGTGAACGCTATTGAACTCGTAAATGTTAAAGAATGCTAAAAACATGAAGTGTTGCTGCTGTAGTGTGTTTTTAGGCCACCTCAGGCATATTAATCGATCCACGTTCAGGCGAAAATTTATGATAACACAAGTGCATGAGACAACCGTATCAAATACATAATTACCTTTAGTTATATAAATGGATATTAATCATCAACATCAGTTGAATGATCATGGTCTCAAATTACCATTTTCAAAAAATGTGCCATCAAAAGTGCCATCAAAAGTTTCCCAGATTTAAGTGTGGTATAAGATAGTTTTACTTACCTAAAATGGAATAAGAAGAAATAAAAATAAGCAAAGAATCATTAGAATATAAAATATAAATATATCTTCATTTAAATATATTAAAGTGTGATTATATATTTTAAATTGTTAAATACCATAGATAGCATAATTGAACATTAAAAAAATCAAGTTAGGCTAATAAGGATTTGGTTATAACTGTAAAGAAATTCCAGTTCTTACAAATTAAGCAAATAACATAATCGGAAGTCAGAAACAAGTCGCAATTAAACCTGAAACAACCCCATATAGTACTTAGCCTGGCAATAACTAAATTGGCAGTAAATAAACAGTTGGTTAACACTATTGTCCCCCATAATGATCGGATCGTGTGTGGAGGCCATCAGGAAAGCAATAAAAATGCGAATTAATTGCCAAAACTGAATGCAAATCCTAGTTGAAATCATTAAAAAAAAAACAGTACAATCTTAACTGTAACAGAGTCTCCGGACAAATTAGACAGCTCAATTAATTTGATGACAGCTCAACTGACAAATTGAACAAAATTGTGTATTAGAAAATCATAAAATCATCGTTTTCAATACAGTTTCGTGTGATTTTACAGGTTTTATTTATGTTCAACTTCCTGAGCTAGTTCTACGAAATTTATTGAAAGCGTAATCAAACAGTTTGCTGTGCAAATTATTTAAATTTTTTAAATGAAGTTGTGGAAATATTATTCAAAAAAACATTATTTAACCTTGCTGAAGAGCATTGCCCGCGTGTCGCGTATCTTCTGTTGCTGCTGCTGACAATTTTTTGGTAAACAATTGTTTTTTGTTTTTGATTTGTGGCATTCTATTGAATTCTGTTAACATGCCACATATAATTGAACATTGCGCTGTCTGACAGAAACGTCATCAACGTTGTCGAATACAAAGCAACGCAACATGAATCGAATGAAACAAAACTGTATAAAAGTGAATATTATATATCCATTTATATTATATTGCTGGTTGGTATATATAAAATATGAAAAAGGCAGACACGCAAAGCATAAGCAAGCCGAATCCAATAGCAATCGTCAAACAGTTCAATGACATTTTATTTCATATTCAATAACAAACAATTGCAACGGACACAAAATTATAAACAACCCAAATAAGCATACAAAAATGATTAAGTGTTTTTATCATTATAATTTTCCTTCTCTGAAAGCAGGCTTGACTACACTTGCTTTCAGCAAAATGTAGCCAAGAGCGAAAATAATTCTATATAAGAAATTTACTCATTTAAATTTACCCAGAATGCATTTGCATTTCAGTCTCTTTAGTTTTCATATTAAAATTCCCACATGTGATTCCGCACACGGTAAATGTGAAGCACGCCGTCAGCAGAAGTAATATTCAACAGAATTGTATCATATAATTATTAGATTCTTAGGTGCGAAACTAATATACATTGTATTCTCAGTGATCGGTTAACATCTATAACACTACCTTCTGTAGATTGTGCTACTGACATTGAAACTGGGCAACCAAAATCATTGGCAAAAGCACAAACACAAATTTCGCTGCGACAATTTTAAAGCAACTACAGCCAAAATCAAAATAAATATATATATATATATAAATCAGCAGCTGCGGGTGGCGTCGCCTTCCGCGTCGGAAGATGAGGTTGGATCAGAAATACACAAACATATATATATACAAATTATATATACACATGCATAAAATAAAAACGCAACACAAACACGAATCAACTCAATCGTCTAAATAGGCAGCTATCATGTGGATAGCAACCAAAACAAAAACAATTGTTAATTGTAGATTTGAATTTAAACTTGCATTTAAGTAAGTTTCGCATTTCAATTGAAACGTCTGAAGATTACTAAATCGGCAAAAAACAACAAAAGCTCAATGCATAATTATTGTAAGTGCGGTTTATTCACTCTACATATATATGTATATAAATAACATTATCATTAAACAGAGCCCGCTGTTCCATAGTTTAAATGCTACAAATTGCTCTGAGTGTGATTTATGAGGCATATAAATCTGCATACACATATTTATTTACACTGTTTGATATTTTTTAGGTTTGTGGGTGGCTTAAAGCTCGAGTTTGTATTGGGTTCAACGCACTATAGAACTTCCGATATGCGTTTTTTTTTCGGATGCGCCTCTTTATCGTCAGCTTATTGGCAGTCAGCTGAGACGGCGTTTTATTAGTGATTTATGTGGCCAGATAATGGCCATTTGCGATTTTACGGCTCAAACGCTTAGCCAATTGCCAAATAGTTTGCATTCACGCCGTTTTTCCCACCAACGGAAGTCAACAAACAAAAAAAATAAATAAATAAATACCCAAAAAATAACAAACAAAATGAAAGCGCTCAGCACGCATACAATTAACTGACTCTGCCAGGTATTTCCAACCACAAAAAATAAAAAATACGGAAAATTCACTGGAATTTAATAAAGCCTCGTTTTAGCCTCGTCTTATCGAATGTGCTGTTCACTCTGAAGGCAACTGATGTCATCTGCAGTTCAGTGCACCATTCTCGCCGTCCCTCCCCAGCCCAATACCATCTGTTTGACCTACATATGCATATTTCAATTGTTGTGCCCTGCGACTGGTTGGCAGCAAGTTGGAGAGCCTACTATCAGCTCATCTATCGTTATCGAATGCATACGAATTGTGTTGAGAATTGACTATTGACATGAACCAGCTTTTAGACCACACCCTGAACCCCTTAAGCAAATGCCTATGACAAGAGTCATTCAGTTGACTCAGATTATGACCATAGATTAATGGACCTCGAGCTGACCACGTTTCTATAGCATTGCCAGTTTTTCTTTCTGCGACTTTCTGAAACAATTTACTGTCCACATTCAGATTTGTCCTACAACATTTATGCAGTTCTTTAGCAAACAAACTTTCTTTTGTAAGAGTTATGGGTTTTTAAGAGATGACAACATTTTGGGTCAAATTTATACATTATCAATTTAGCTTGGGTTTTTCCCCTTTTTCTTGCGCAGCTTTTCCATTAGATTTCCAAATGTATTCAATTAATATGCATAGACCCAGTTTATAAAGTCTCGTGACAATGCGGAAGCAGCTCCAAATCTGGAGTTTCCAAAATCTGATTCAAGAAATTAGAGCCAATAAGTGTTTAACAAACACAACGACATCAGCAGAATTTCGGCTTAAATTACGCAATAACAATGACCAGCAAAAAAAAAAACCCCCCACACAGATGGAGAAGATATAAGAGACACACTTCTCCGAAGTTGCACAGCTCTTAATGTAAATTTGCTAAAATTGAGAGAGAAAAAGAAACAATTAACGAAATTGTTAAGCATGATTAAAAAGAAGAAAGCTCCTGGCCAGAATACACTTAAATACAATTTATTGCATTGCAAATAAATACAAGAAATTAACGAAGCGAGCCAGCTTAATGCTGAGTTATGCATACAATTATATGACGACAGCAAGCGGCAAGCGGCAAGCGGCCCGCAGCAAGCGGCAACTACAATTGGCTACAATTAGGCCAAAATAATATTAGCAACAGCAACAGGCAACCATCCACTGGCCTTGAAAATGCTTAAGAAATGTTACATGAAATGCATAAAACTAATGCACTACTGGGAATTTCAGTTAAGCTAAACCTTCGGGCGGGGATTTTGAGTGTTCCTTGATTTTAAAAAACATTGTTAAATATTTGTCTGCTCCAAGTGCTGCATATCAATTCAAGTGGCTCCAAGAGCGAGAGAGACAGAGAGAGAGAGAGAGAGGCTGGGTCTGAGTAGATTTACCGTTATGGACAACAGAGCAGCAGCAGCGAAAAGATAAATTTAATTAATGATGATTTTTGTGTTGTGTA